GGTGATGAAAATCTATTTTGCTTTCATTAATGATCAACAAATCAAAAAATATGAAGAATACAGAGATATTAACTTTAGAGATGAGAATGGAAGATATTTGGTTCACTATTCAACCAATTGTTTCAGTACAACAATACAACATTTGGGTTTAGAATTGAAAGATAATAATCAAACAATGCCCATCCAAACTTTTTACAATAGTTATCTTATAGCTTTGGACCATTTAGGACATATTGAGAATATGCCTAAATTGAACTTTTTTTCATATACTGATAATTTTGGAATGTGTAGATATTTATATTTATTAATGGGGTATAACATTAATACTCACTTATTGGTAACAGAAGCCAATACAATTGGATTTGATTACTCTTCAGGTGAACCTGAACTTGTATCATTGTGTACCCATTATTTGAACGGTCTTTATCATTTTTCTATTGAGAAAAGCCCTTTACAACAATTAAGAAATATCAAATACTATGGATGTATTGATGGAGACGATATTTCACATTATGTTACGAGATATTATTTGAGTTTAATTAAGAAAAATCCTAGAAGATATACAGACCATTCAATCCTCCAAGTCTTAATTGCTCGAGGATTGAAACTTGATATTGTAAGAAACTCGGAGGGACAAACAGCTTTCGATTTAATGGATAAATTCACAGGAACGCCCCGAATGATGGCACTTGTGAAAGATTTGAAGAAAGTTTGTAGAAAGGGACGTTCCAACAAATCTAAAGCAATATCAAAATTTACCATCAATCACAACCAGATTCCAAAAGAAATAGTAATTGAAGAATCTGAAACAACACTTGTTGTTAAATCACAAAATGTTTTATCTTTTCGTATAAGAATCAAAAGAAGTTTAACATTTAACAAGTATTAACACATTCGAAAATAATTACAATAATTTATTGATATAAGGAGAGGAAGAGAAATATTTGGAATTCAGATTAGAAAATTAATGTTGTCCTGAAACAGCTTTCCATGAAGGTCTTGATGAAATCTTTTCCCACCAAGCTTTAACATGTGGACGATCCAACAATAAGTTACCCAATCCAATGGCGAACAACAAATTTCCATATGGTAAGTGATACAAATCGGCTAAGGTGAATTGATTTCCACCAATGAATTCTTGTTTAGCCAACACTCTTTCATAGGAATCCAAATTGAGAGCTAACTTTTCACTCAATTGTTTGACACGAGCTTCGTCTGCGGCTCCGTATCCCATCATTCCCTTAAATAACTTTTCAAAAACTAAACCAGAGGCATTTGAATCAAAGTAAGCAGTTTCAATGGAAGCGCCTTGTTCGAATAGACCCAAAGCTTTGAGTTCGGTTGGAATGAGTTCAGTTCCTTGGCCCTTATGTTTGGCTTCTAAATAACGACAGATAGCACGAGATTCATAAATCAAGAAACCGTCATCTTCCAAGCCTGGAATGACTCCAAATGGATGCTTTTCCAAGTGGGATGGTGACTTGTGTTCTCCCTTCATTAAATCAACAGGAACAAGTTCATATTCTAAACCTTTCTCCTTGATTGTGGTCAAAACACGTTGAACACAAGTAGATTGAGCAGCACCATAAATTTTGAAGACCATTTTGTTGTTTGTTAATAATACAGTTAAAGTTGTTTTTTTGTGATTGGAAATACATAATCATTAAGATTAGCGTGCCATTTATGGGATTCTGTATCCGCTGTCGTGAGCACTATTTATTGATTTGTGGAAGTTGCGCAAGAAATGGTTTGCATTTCATCCTCTTTGAAAGTTCACAACAGTAAGGCTTATTTTGGAAGTGGTTTCAGCTGCAAGTTGAGCAAGTTGGACTGAAAGGAAGATTCAAAATTAAGGAATTGCCTATTCCCTTCATTAAGGAATTATTTTGAAAACCAATGAGATCCCGTGTAGTCCAATGGCTAGGATACCTGGCTTTCACCCAGGAGGTCCGGGTTCAATTCCCGGCATGGGAGGATAATTTTGTTTCTTAACCTCCCAATTTAATTGTAATACTCTTTTACATTAAATAACACTTGTTGGATTACCAGTGTTTTATTGGCACTTTAAGGTTAGTTGAATACTTCTCCTAGTAATAAGGATGTTGAAATGATAAATCAAAGTTTAGTTCCGAATAATTCGTTTTACAACAACCACATTCTCGGAATTCGTTTTCAAACAAAAAAAATGATCGAAAAGCAAGAATCGGAATTAAGCAAACAGACTTTTCCCTCCACAGAACAAGATGATTTACTCGATTCAGATCCTCTAATTCTCATTCCGAATCATGACTATGATGATGATGATTATGAATCATTATTAATAACTTCATCAATTATTCAAAATCAAAATAGTGAAAATAGTATTGATCAAAATGATTCATGTTCGTCCGAAAGAAAGAATCCAATCAGATATAAATCATTTCCTCCTCATCAGGGAGTGCTCTGTTCTGGCTGTTGTAAAAAGATTCAAAATTGCGAATTGTGTGGTGAAGATTTCAGAGGAGGAAAAACTTTGCCAAGCTCGAATGCTTATAGACACTTGTATGAGATTTTGGCAATGCTCGAAATTACAACGAATTGGATGGATGAATGCGGGAAGGATGAAGAATTGGAAGAAAATGTTGAAGGATTAAAAACGAGAATGAAGGAGGAAATTGAAAATGTAATGAAAACAGTGGAAAGGAATCGAATTAAAAATCTGAAACAAAAAGAGGAGGAACTGATTGCTGATTATGAAAGAAAACGAAAAGAATTGATGGAAGAATTTGAGGAGAAGAATAGGCAATTACAAGAAGAAATTCTCTCTTTGCAAAATCAAGTAAAAATTTCATCAAACCAAGGCCAAAACAATTCAATGAATAATTTACATGTTTTAATAAGGGATAATAAGACGAAATTCAGTTCTTTTGAAAAGACCATGGACTATATGGAGAAGGCAACTCAACCTGAACATCCTATAACCCTATGTAATCTTGGCCTAATGTACAGAGATGGTTTGGGAGTTTCTAAATCCTTTGGGAAGGCAAGAAATTTATTCAAAGCAGCCGCTCTTCTTGGAAATGCCACTGCTCAAAATAATTTAGCAAACATGTACGAGAATGGACAAGGTGGTTCTTTATCTTTGGAAAAGGCAGTGAAATGGTACCGTGAATCAGCCAATCAAGGTAATGCAGTAGCTCAATATAATCTAGCTCTGTTGTACGAGAATGGAAAGGTAGTTGCCAAGTCTTTTGAGAAGGCCTTTAAATGGTATGAAAAATCAGCCAGCCAAGGGAATGTCCATGCACAAAATAATTTGGCATCACTGTACGAAAGTGGGAGAGGAACTAAACAGTCATTTAAGAAGGCTTTTGAATGGTATCTGAAGGCAGCTCAACAAGGTCACTCAGAAGCTCAATATAATCTTGCTGTAATGTATGAGTATGGACAAGGTACAGAGCAATCATTCGGGAAAGCAGTTCAATGGTATGAGAAATCAGCTTCTCAATGTGATGCAGATGCTCAATTCAATTTGGGTTTGATCTACTTGAATGGAACGAAATTTCCAGATTTCCCAAAAGCATTTGAATGGTTACGTAAAGCAGCCCACCAAAATCATGCAGAAGCTCAGTACTATTTGGGAACTCTATTCGAAAAAGGTATTGGCACTGAAAAATCCAAAGAGAAAGCTATTGAATACTATCAAAAATCCAAACTTCAAGGAAATAAGTATGCAGAAACAAACCTACTGTTTATCTTTGGTTCCTATGATTGAGGAAGTGTGAAACATCTCTTCCACCTTGTATATTTATTGTAATCTTTCAAAATTCTAATATATTCTTCTGGAAGAGCAAAGAATTTTTTAATTACCATTCAATCAAAAGTTCGGTCAACTGTTTCATATTTTCAAATAAATGAGAATCAGATTTTGTAATTTGATTACCTCTGATATCAAGTGTTGTTAAATTATTCAAATTTCCAGAACACAACAATTTAACACCCTCAATTCCAATATTATTATTCCACAAACACAAAGAGGTCAATGATTTCAATTCACATAAATACTGTACACCATTGTCTCCAATATTATTGTCATTCATACATAACTCTTCCAATTGTTTCATTTCGCTAACTACTTTGCAACCTTCAGCACCAAATAAATTATTATTAACGGAAAGAAAATTCAATTTTTTCAAACCAACTAAATATTTAAGCCCTTCAGCATCTAATTCAATTTCATCTGCTTCAAGTGTTGTCAACTGTTTCATTTCACCTAAGAACTTGGTACCATCTCTAATTACATTAATGGAGATATGGAGATGTGTAACTTTCGGTAATTGTTTAGAAACCAATTCAATACCTTCAGCTGTTATTTCAGTATTCCACAAGTCAAGATGAGTTAACTGTTTCAGTTTACAAATGTGCACTACTCCTTCATCCTTAATATGGTTATTATTAATACTGAGCAATCTCAGATTTTTCAATTTGCTTAGCCAGCGAACACCTTCAGCTTTCAAGTTATTGTTTCGTATTGTTAACTCTGTCAATGACTGTATTTCACCAATAAATTTAGCTCCATCGTTTCCAATTTGATTGTAACCAATGTCAAGACTTGTTAGTTTTTGTAAATTTCTTAAATATTGAGCTCCTTCAAGACCTTTATCATGTCCTCCAAATCTAAAATCTTCATTAAAACGCACGTTTAGATATGTTAAATTGGTCAATTGACTAATGAATCTTATTCCTTCACTTGTAAGAGAATTCCCATAAATATTTAGATAGGTCAATTGTTGCATTTCTCCAATAAATTTAGCACCTTCAGCTCCAATCGTATTAAAACTAATATCGAGCTTGGTTAACTGCTTCAATTGACCAATAACTTTTGCACCATCATAACCAACCTTGTGATCGGATGAAATTTCCAGACTTTTCAACTGTTCAAGTTGGGCAATATTTGCTGCCCATTTTGTAAATTCTGTAATTTTCGTATTGTCAGCAGTGTGTGTTAATTTTAAATCTGTAACACAATTCTTAAATTTACTCTTGATTATCAAATCTAATGTTTGATTATTGAATTTTAATTTTCTAAAATTGACCGATAATTTCATACTCTCCGTGATTAATTCGTACCACTCTTTGGAAATCAATGAACATGTCAAAATAATTGTATGTGAATCGACAAATGACATGATTTCACAATACATATCTCTTGGTAATCGAAGAGGTGGCAGAGGTGTATCATCAAGGTGGGCCAGTCATCGATGACATTTTTTTTTAATATAATTAAAAATTTGTGTGGAACGAACTCGATCGAAATTCACACTTTGTTTGAAAAATTGTAAACTTACTAAATTTTTGGTAATTTCAAAAAAAATGCTTAACAACAATTTAAATAATTTCAACCCTGATGATAAAGATGGAAAAAAGAGAAAATTAGAAATTGCCTTTGATGATGAAATAATTCCTGATTTCAATTCAGAGGAACCATCAAGAAAGAAGAGATTGGATGATTCCGAATTATTAATAATTCCCTTTTATTTACAAGATGTCTTTTTGGAAAATGTTTTTCCGTTCATGACTGGGAAAGATTTGAATCGGATTCGATTGGTCTGTTCTTGTTGGTATAATTTTCAGAGGAGTGATTATTTTGTAACGAATCATATTGTTAGGTTGAATATAAAACATGATATTTTGCAAATTGAACAGAAAAAGACGCAGTTATCGATTGTGAGGATTAATTTGGGATATAAACAAGGGAATATGCTCATTATTCATATTGAAAAGGGTAAACATTCTATTATTGAGGATTTAATTGATGAACATGTTAATGATCCTAATTGTTCAAAATTTATTGATAATACGATTATTTCAAAGTTAGGCGCTACAAGTATCAAATCAATTGTTGGATATAAAGATGGAAAGAAACATGGAGAAACTATCGATTACTTCAAAACAGGGCAGATTATGCAAATTGGACACTTTGAGAATGGGAAAAAGCATGGAGATTTTATCAAGTATTTCAATTCTCCATACGTTGTGGAGAGAACCTACTCATATAAGAATGACAAACTATTTGGTAAATTGGTAGAGAATAAGATAATTTATTCCAAAAATCAGAAAGTGGTCGTCAAGGATGTAGAATGTCACTACGAGAATGGAAAATATCATGGTGAGAAGATTATCTACGAAGGAAAAGATAGTACAATTACTGAAATATCCAATTTCAAAAATGGAAAGCGTCACGGAATCTCCAAACATTATCATTACTCTGGTGATCCTAATAGTTACTATTTAAAAGGGGAATCTAATTATCAAGATGGAAAAATACATGGAGTTTGTAAATCATTTTATGCTAATGGAGAACCATTTACAATTATAGAATATGAAAATGGACATCTAATTTCTGAAACCATTAATAGCTCAGAAAAAAGAAAGCCAGTAATTTCTCAACTTGGATTTCTGATAAAATCAGATGATTAAATTTTCTGGATTTTTTAGTGGTGTACCATAAGAAATTTGATCATAATAGAAGTGGGTGCAGAGGTAAGACCATTCTACAAATATATTGGATGGGTTAATGTCGCGATGGATTAAACCTCACAATACAGCAAAAAAATGCTCAAACACACTCTGCACTACGCTGATTATTCGTCATGGACTGCAAGTGAGGTAGTTTCCTTGTACATGCACCTTAAACAAGGAACTCGAAAGAATAGGCACCACCTTGCCTTCTTGTATTTCCTAGGGTGTGATGGTACCTTGGTTGATGCTATTGTTACGAGTTCTAAAAAGGATGCTCCAAGTAGCCTTTCTGGATCACCTGAGTACGTAGTTTCATTTCATAGAATGATGCTATTATATCCTAACATAGACATGATTGAAGCTGTGAACAAGGTGGTTGAGAACAAAAGAAAATCAGCAAAAAAGAGAATCAAATCTCTTCTCAAGCAAGAAGGTGCAATCGATATCATATTCAAATTACTATTCAGACATGAATGTCTCATGGAAAGCAGCACTTTTATTGATTCAAAGCTAAGCTGCGCTCTAGTGGAAACAACCTTTGCTCACGTTTTAAAACGAGGCGATGGCTTTATTTTCGACCTAGTCGACCCCATATTATTCAAAGTATATTTTCAGACTATGTTTGAAGCATACAGAGGTCCAATGTGGGAATATATCTCTGAACACAAAGAAAATATAGAAAGTGTGTTTGAAACATTTATTATGATGCTCTTGCTAGAGGAGAGCTATCATTCTAAGGAAAATTCAATCAAAACAACTTCCTTATTTGCTGAACTTCCGAAATCCTACCAGAATTACACACTAGCTCTAAACACATTCGTTAGAGATCCAACACTCAACAAAAAGACTGGTAATTCCTCTCTTATACCAGGATTATGGTATGCCATGTTAGATAGTTTTTTTGCAGATTCATTCTCAAAGCCAGATGATAGTATGGGTCCTGATGGAGTATTTTTCTTGAAGCCACTTAACAATAATGATAAACCAATACTTGTTATGGCTGCAATGACTACCGTTTCAGATCTCATTACAGACAAATATCAACCAGAGGAAGCCTTACGATTATATGAAACAACAGATCCTAAAAACATTGGTGTTTGCAGGAATAAGAACAGCTACAAACAAGAAATAGATTTGGATGTTCAGCACATGTCCCAGAAATTTAACTTAAGAAAGAGACGTTGTTTGAGGTGGTTGGTATGCCCTTTTATGAAGCCACCAGGGATTGAGTTTATTAGAAATAATTACAGAAATAGACTAAAACCTTTCCAAGATGATCTACATGATCTTATCATTACTACTAAACAGGACATTGATCTATGCATATCAAAGTTCCAAAATAAGCCATATCACTCTTTTATTGAGAATATTTGGGATTATTGTTGTAGAAAATAATTCATTGTTCCATATAAGGATTAACATTATGAATTGATTGTAACATTATGAATTCTGATTTCTGAATCGACGAACATCCTTTCCATCAAGACTTGATAACTTTTCCAATGTATTATCTTTTAGGTGGGTAATAGCTGATAACTTTGCCAATGTTTTTTCTCCTAGGTTGGAAATATGAATTAACTCAACTAAATATTCGTCTGTTGCGAATGATAATCTAGGTCTTGATGTTCAATAGAAGATTAAAATTGTTTCAAAAGAAGGATAATTTGAAAATTATTCTAATCAGCCCACCAGATGCAATAAGGAACAAATTAGTCCATTTGTGGTTACCCGGTTGTAAAAGGACTATTTTTTGACTAAATTCGTAACAATGACATTTGAACAGCTGACTTTAAATACATCAAAAAAAAGAACAACACTAACTTCAATGGTTAGCAGTTCTATCTCTTCCATATTTCTTGTAGCACAAGTAGAATCTAATAATTCGACTACCAATGATATTTTAAAGACAGTGTTTAGGATAGAGCCATTAATTGTTTCGTATATTGAAATATCAATTGCTGTACTATCTCTATTTCTTACCTTTGGATTGGTTATTATTATTGGATCATATTTTGTTTATTCGAAATTAAACACAGAGAAACAAGTCATGATGAAAAATCAGAAACGTATGATTTTTGGTGTGTTGATTCTTTGCTCAATCGAATGCATTGTTTTATTGTGTAGAATATTCTACGACAGTTTAAATATTAATTTCGGATTAAGATTCCAACAATATGCCGAAACTTTTGAACGAAACTCGACAAATTTTCCAAATTTCGACACCTTTCTCTGGTACAACAATTCACTGAATATTACCCCAAGTGATGTAGGTATCACAACAGGGCAATTAGTAGTCTATAGCATTAGTGTTGCTTTTGAATTATTTTTCATCCTGATTGATGTTCAAGTAATGATTGGAATTATTTGGTTTGTTACTTTAGTTTTCATTGAAACCTTTCGATTATCGAGTGGATTATTGAACTCTAAAAAGATTCGTTACTTTACAAAATCTGTTACAATTTTAACAATTGTAAACTCGGTTGGCTTGATTGTTGTAAACTTGACAGGAACAATATTGACAATTTTACAAAAATTGGGAATGGTTTCGGATGATTTGACAATGTACATTTATGGAATTTGTATTTTAATGTTTGTTGTTCAAGTCTCTATTCAAATTTCAATGTTAATTGTAAGTTGAAAATCTAGAAGAGTAGTTTCTAATAATTTTGAAAGGCTGCTGCCACAATTGTTTTGAGAATTATTTCACGATTGTCAGAAGATAAGCAGAAGAAGAAACATTCTGTAATTAAAGTTCTTATATTACAATGTGGATTATTCGGATGTTTCATTTTTGAGGCAATAGCTTTCGGATTTGGAATAGCTCAGGAAGATCCTGAACTTTCTCATTTAGCTCTTGGATACTCAACTCTAAATACAGCTGGAATTTTAGTGTTTGCGTTTACTGCACTAGCTCTATATTCACCAATTCACATCCTTAAAAAGGATTACGATAATCATAGCGGAACATTGAGCATGAAATCGAATAATATTTCATCTTCTAGAAATAGAACAAGGAAATCTGCAGGAGGAACCCCCAATTCCACTAGAAATAGTTTACATTTGGAGGATTCACCTGTTGTGAGCGACAAATCAAACCAATCTCCACTTGAAACTCCAACCAATAATAATATTTAAGAAAGGATCCTCTTAATAAATTTAATCAACGATAATGATAAGCAAGATCCATAAGTTTATTTTGTTTTCTTGAATGAAACAGACACCTCTTATGTAAACTATAATAGTTTATTTTAGAAAAGTAACATTGCAAGTAACAATAGACACATTAAGAAAGCACTCAACTTGTTAGTTTCAGCTCCGCCAAGAACTGTAGATTTCTTAGGTGTAACACTGGCATCAGTTGTAGTTTGGGTTGCCAAAAGCAAAACATTTCCTCTCAAGACCTTTGTTTTACAAGTTACTGATCCACTTCCTTTGATAAGTGTAGCTTTGGTATTGACAGAGTAAGTGTCATCACTATTATGAATACCACAAACTGGTGTCAATGATCCTGTGTAAGGAATTGTAATTTGAATATCATTCAAACTTGTAACATTACCAGAAACAATGGTTCCATTGTCGTACATTGGTGTCATGTCATAAATCAATGAACCAACAGAATATGTGACTCCACCAATTGCTCTTTCAGTACCTGGTGCGTATTTTGGTCCTGTTCTGGCTACCCAGTTGCTGTTTGCCAAACATTGTAAGAAGCCAAGTGTGTCCTTAATATCAACAATGAAGTAACATTCAATACCAGCCAAAGATCTTGAATTTGGTGATAAAGCGATCGATACATTTGAAAGAGACAATGAAGACACGCCCTTGGAAACAGCAATTCCAAAATTGGCTCCACTACTACTAACTAAATCTCCCAGGGACATGTGTGCAACAAGCTTTGATCCCATTGCATTACCAAATGTAAGTGTCTTACTACTGCTTGAAACAGTAACAATATTTGAAGCAATATTAACGAGTGCATCAACTTCATTTCTGGAGAATTGTGGATTGGTGGTTCCACTAATCATAGTATCGAGTGTATTGTCAGCAGAAGTTTTGGTGATTTCTGAGGTGACAGATGTTACTGTAGAGAGGGCCTTAATTGCAGAGCCAAGATCTCCAGAGGAAATTGCTTTAGAAATTGTTGTAATGATTGAATTTCTGATAGATTGCTTATTTGCGATTTGTGTAGAATCGGTTGTTGTAATGGTGTTCAAAAGTGAAGCAGCACCCAACAAATCAGCAACAGATGAATTTGAAGTAAAGAGATTTTGAATGGTTGAAATGGCTTGGCTTGGAGGCAAATTAGATACTGGATTTGTCAATGAGATAGTTGTCAATTTTTGAACACTGTCTGAGTGATCTCCTTCACATCTAACGTAGATATCAACACTTGATTGACCTGAAATGAATGGCAATTTAAATGTTGCTGGTCCTTCACTCATATCAGTTAGAATTGTAATACTGCTAGAATCAGAAAAACCAAATCCATATTTGAAACTAGAATCAGAGTAAGGATTTGAGTTTCTTGTAATATTAATTCTGAAAACAGTTGTACCAGCAACACCTGAAGTAACAGCTTGATTGGTGCTGTCATCATGTAAAGTGAAAGTCAATGTAGGATTTTGTTGAACAAAAACGGTGGTTGAAGTTGTGACAGTAGTTGTGATGACACCAGTGGTAATCTTGGCAGTCAATGCAAAACCATATGTACTACCAGAAACGAGACCATTATTGAATGAAAGGGCATTGAATTTTCCTGGAATTATTAATGTTGGAGTATTCAAATTGGTCATGGATGCCAAATTGGAAATGGTTGGTCCAGAAATTTGAGACCAGCTGTAATCAACATTTGAAATACCATCAAGGGTCAATGAATTAATAATAGCCATCATGAAAACACCCATCATTGGATGAGTATATCCTTTAGAACTTATCATAACAGAGAGTGAACAGTATGATCCATAGAAATCAGGGGAACATGTACAAACACCATTTGCACAAGTACCATGTCCAGAACATGGAATATTAATACCCAATGTTTGATTGGCACATTGTGGAGCTTGAATTGTTGTGTCACAGTTTGCACCAGACCAGCCTTGTTTACAAACACAGTTATCCTTTGAAACACATGAACCATGTCCACTACAAACTGAGGTCTCAGTTTGATCAATACCATTACAAGTAAAGAATTTAGAGGAAAGTAATCTAATTCTACCATTTTTAGCATCAGCAATATAAATTTCATCATCTGAAACAACCAAAATACCAGTTGGAAGAGATAATCCTCTTGAGGTGGCAATTCTACCATCAGAGAAAGAGGCAGTACCATTACCGGCAATTGAAACAATAGTACCATTGGTTAAAACCATTCTGACTCTGTTATTGTCAGTATCAGCAATCAACATTTCACCATTTGAGAGGAATGCAACATCAGTTGGATGATTCAAATTGGCAGCAGTGGCCAAAACATTGTCACCATTGAATGGTCCAGCACCAGTACCAGCAATTGTTGTAATAACTCCACTAACATCAATCTTTCTAACTTTGAAATTATTACTATCTGAAATGTAAACTTCATCATTAACAACTCTAACACCATAAGCTTGAGATAAGGCAGCACTTATTGCTTGACCACCATCTCCAATATGACCTGATTGACCATTACCAGCAAATGTGACAATAGTGCCATTGGCCAAAACCTTTCTAATTCTATAATTATCTCTATCAGCAATATATAAATCACCTGAAGCGCTCAATGAAACATCCATGGGAGCATTCAATTTAGCTGCTGTAGCCAAACCACCATCACCAGAGAATCCAATTGAAGTACCAACAACAGTTGAAATATTGCCATTAACATCAATAAATCTAATTCTATGATTTAAAGAGTCAGCAATGTAAATTTCATCATTAATTGTAACTGCAATACCATATGGCTTATTGAATTGAGCCAGAGTTGCTAAACCACCATCACCTGAAAAACCTGCAACTCCAGTACCGGCAATTCTGGTAACAACACCGGTTGAGTAACTTATCTTCTTAATAGAGTGATCGCCTGTATCAGAAACAATAAGGTCGCCATTTGACAATTTGGAAATCTTTTGTGGATCCTTCAAACCTCTTGCAACAGTTGTAATATAATAGCTAGATGGAAGACAAGTTGGGCCTTCAAATCCAGCATTGCATTGACACATATTATTACCAACACATTGACCTTGACCACTACAAACACTTGAATCGAGATATGACTTTCCATAGCATGAATAAATTCTACTTTGCAATAATCTAATTCTCTTATTACCAGCATCAGCAATTAATAATCCGTTTTGAATCATTAACAAACCAGTTGGAAGAGATAATCCATTTTCTTCAGCAATTTCACCATCAGAGAATGAAGCAGTACCATTACCAGCAGTTGTAATAATTGTACCATTTGGCATAACAAGTCTAATTCTGTAATTGTCAGTGTCTGCAATTATCAATTCACCTGTATCCAAACGAAGAACATCAGTTGGATGATTCAAATTGGCAGCAGTGGCCAAAACATTGTCACCATTGAATGGTCCAGCACCAGAACCAGCAACAGTTGTAATATTACCATTAACATCAACCTTTCTAACTTTGAAATTGAAACTATCTGAAATGTAAACCTCTCCATTTGAAAAAACTTTAACACCATAAGCAAGAGCCATAGCAGCATTTGTTGCCAAACCACCATCACCTATATGACCTGATTGACCATTACCAGCAAATGTGACAATAGTGCCATTGGTCAAAACCTTTCTAATTCTATAATTATACATATCAGCAATGTATAATTCTCCTGAAGCACTCAATGATACATCCATTGGAGTATTCATGGTACAATCAGTGGCCAAACCACCATCACCACTGAAAGTGTTAGCGCCAGTACCAACCACTGTTGTAATATTACCTGTGATGTCAATTTTTCTAATTCTATGATTCATAGAGTCAGCGAAATAAATTTCATCATTGCTTGAAACAGCAATACCGTATGGTTTGTTAACTTGAGCATTGATGGCTGGTCCATTATCACCAGCAAAACCAGCAACACCAGTACCAGCAATTGTAGTAATCACACCAGTTCCGTTAATCTTCTTAATAGCATGACCTAAAGCATCAGTGACCAGAATATCACCATTTGATAATCTAGCAAGTTTTTGTGGATCTTTGAATTCACCATTTCCACCAGCAAATGTGCTAATCTTGACAGAGTATGGATTTAATGATGTACCCTTAACCATCACTACCATGGCCATCATTATCAGCACAATAGCAAGAGAAAAACCAACAATGTTGGCACTCTTAATAGTTGTGACTCGTCCCATTTTTGTTTTTTTCTACGTTTAAGAAAGAATTTAAGGCTGCTTTGCTCCTTAACAAAAAGCGTGCAGAATAATAGTGTAGATGAACTTGCTTTCCTGTAAGAGTGGAATTTTGGAGGGAGAGTTTGCTGTTGCAGATGATCCTAAGACCGTTGTGTAAAGTATTGCCAAATTTGATGACAGAGTACAGTTCTTTTGGCGCCATTTTGTTTAAAACTGCCACAGTAGTGAGTAGGTGGCCATCATAATCGTTGAAAGTAACAATAAGCGTCCAAAATGTTAATTGTATTGCAATGTGAGTGAAATATCTTCTTCATCAAGAGAATATTCTTGTGCAAGAGGAATTTCTTCAAAGTTACCTATTGTTGTCTTAGCAACTCTCACACCAAGTCCGAGGACATGGTTTGCTGCCACATCGAACGAACACGGAATTCCAAGGTTATTACCTTTGACTGCACTCAAATTAGAATCAAACAACTATTAAAGTCATCTCATATTTTGCAAAATAACAAATCCAATCAAAAAGAATGAAATCGTTCAAGTTGCTGATCAACAAACAAGTGCCAACACTCAAGAGATTTAACAATTTCTCAATTTCAACACGCGTGAATGTCAAGAAATGCTACAGTGTTCACAAATCCTTCACTATTGAACCTCTAACAAAGGAAAATGTTAAAGAAGCAATATTGTTGACTTCCATGACATTTGGCAAACATGAACCAATAATGGGAAACAAATTCCAACCAACAGACATCTATCATTTTGCATCTATATTAGCTCATAGAGCTGTCGAAGAAGGATTAGGTCATGTTGCAATTGATAAGAGTGGGTAAGTAATTTTTCAATAATGAAGTTATTAACTTTCAAATATTTCAGATTGATTGTTGGAGCTGTCTACAGTTGTGACCATGTTAAATCTGTATTCGACGATTCCTTCTCCACAATTGATTTCTATCCAGAAGGTCTTCAATTATTCGAAGATTTGCACACCCAATATTTTGAATTCATTGCCAACCATCCACAACACGAAAAATTTGGTATTCACACTCCTGAAAAGATGTTTACTCCTCAAAATGTTGGAAAGATTCTTCATTTTCTTGTTGGTGTCACGGCTGATTTCTATCAAGGAAATGGTGTCATGTCAGAGTTGAGTAAGGTTCATTTGCAAGATTGTAAGGAACGAGGTTTCGAACAAGCATTTGCCGAATGTTCTAGTAATTATTCTACCAAGGCATTGGAGAAGAATGGATTTTCAATTCAGAATCGAATTGTATATGCAGACTATGAAATTAAGAATGAAAAGCTAGGAACCAAAAAGCCATTCCTACACGTTCCACAACCTCATCAATCTATGAATTTGGTTTGGAAATATAAATTGTAAATATATTTTCATTAAGTGCCAATACATGTGCACCATCCTAGCTAAATTGATATAAATGACATTAAATTCATTAGTAAATGTACTTGGTAAAATTTGATGTTAATTATATTCATCCGAGCTATTGTTGTTGTTAATCATACTTGTTCATGTAACAATATTATTTTATATTATCGCATAATGGACGCAAATCACGCCTACGTTGGCACTGGTGTAACCATATTATTTTCATTTTGTTTTTAAAAAATAAATTAATATTAATATTTTAAACAATGATCAAATACTACTACCGGTTTAATTCGACAATATCATAATTATTATTTTCACCATTATCATCAGTATGAGTGATACCCAGTTTCTCCAGCAAGAGTTTTCAAGGTAGTTCAACTCCAGCTATTTTGATATGAGCTGATGAAATACCTTCTATCTCAATTAATTTGTCAGATATTGAAATAATAAATTGTACAGAGAGAGAATATCACTGGGAATCTATCTTCTTCTAATGAATGTTTCTCATCCCTTATTCATTGAATATAATAGTAAAGTATCACAAATATTAAAAGTAAAATATCCAATAGTGAAAATTACAGGAAAAGATAATTATCTGGTAGAGAATGGATGAATGACATGCTATTCGTGATGTTTCAGTGCGAAGTCAATATCCACATCATGAGAAAAACAATAAAAACATGTTA